CATTTTCCTGAGACTTTGCCAGGTGTAATGGCTGGTAACTGGACTAGACAGAACTTCAGCAGGTTTATATGGGCCAGCTGATAAATTCATGCTGGCTATGGGTTTAAATATTAAACTAGGAAATAGCTCTGATATGATTTGTAATATATTATTATTTTTTTTCCAGCTTTTTTTCTGGCCTGAGAATTGCGCTGAGGACCCTTTATATCTGGATCTCCCATTAATTTTCATGTTCTTCCTGCAGACCCAGACTAACAATCTTTGGCATATTTACACGGCTTCAGTGAAGCTGGGTTTCACGAAGACTGTAAAATCAGTCTTTAAGAGCCTACTATGTCCTATTATTTCTAGACAGGTTTTGCACTCTTTTCTTTTTGTTCATAAGCAGAGTTCTGTAAAACAAATTATTTAGCATTCCAAATACTAGAGTCACTTCTAAGCAGTATCTTGCCTTCAGACATGTTTTCTTGGATGGTCAGTTGGTTACCTCAGCATATTTAGGAGGATTTAAGCTAACGTTCTACCTAAACTACCAATTGAAAGGCAGTGATTTGCTTATACTCATCAAAACCTCCTGACGATCAGCATTATTTTATATATGGCTACTTAAAATGATACAAATTCTGGGAAGTTATTTTCCACCTATACTTTCTGATTGCACAGGGCTCTAGTGTTCTGGCAGCTGTACCCAGCTCTCTGAAAAATGTTGCCCTTGCTTTTGTCTTAGACTTTCTAGGACTGGATGAACTCACTTAAAGTATGCTAGTCATTATTTCCAGCTGAAAGATGTTTGTGTCTCATCAACTGTGTTTCATCTGTAAAATTCTGCCTACCATCCTTTACTTAGTGAGACTTCACCCTCTTTCCCTTGTGCACTTGATCCCATTTGTTAAAGTTTGTCAAGTTCCATAAGTTGATGGAGAGGAGAGGAAAGAGGGAAGGAGACACCTTGGTCAAAATCAGTGAGCAAGTAATTTAAAGCCCCTTCTATCATTTCAAGCCTATTCCTTCACCTGAGGTACTACACACTCTTCAAGTGAATATTGATTTCTGCCTTCTCCAAATTACACACCATATATTACTTTCCACTACTCGCTCTCTCCCTAGGATGTCCTTGCACCTATCTGCCTGTGTGGATTCAGCTTTCAATGGGCTTAGAGACAGCACAGTGTAAGTTCGGAAGGACCTTACTGACTCAAGCACTGTGCAGTTCCTTTTCCAAGGAGTAGTCTGCAGCCAGACTGCTACAGAAAGAGTCTAGCAGAACAAGGAGGGACATCCTTCACCACATGCACATGGGATCCAAACTCCAGAATCACCTAGGTGACTCTGAGACCTGCATATTTCAACCTTCAATTATCAAGTCAATTCTCAGCAATTTTATCAAATTCCTATCTGTTTTCCATTATACCTTTGGACTTAACACTCTGTGGCAATGTGTTCCACAGTTTTGTAGTAAAGATAAATATTGTAATATTCAGACTCTTGGGTAGTTTCACTTTAACTGTTAGTTTAACTATTCTTCCTTTCTTCTCCCACATAAACAATTTGAAAACTTTCACTGTAAGGTTTTTACAAATATAATTCCAAAGCATTACCTTCACCTATTTATGTGTCATTGAAACAAGTGTTTTTTTGATCCCCTTCAATGTACAAATTAAAAAGAATTTCTTTGTGTTAAATGCTGTAGGAAAAAATATTTTAAATCTTTTTTAAGCAACTTAAAATGGGAAAAATCCAAAGACAATAATGCAATGTATTGGAGGACACATCTGTTTCCCTGGCCTCTAATCCAAGTGTCTGATTCAGATGCTGTTATCCCCTTGGCAGAGAGAAGCTGCAACAATGGTTGTATGGAAATACCTGACTGTGTGGCGGTCCCACACACTTCAAGCAGTTATACATGTAAGATCCAAGCTCACATGACGTCAACACAAACCAACAGCTTTCAAGAGTTAGTCTAAAAATGAAAGGTTTATGTAAGAGCCAAACAATGATGCATAGGAAACAATGAAATAGTAAATAACTCCTTTTATTACAGTTCTAACTCGGATATCTGCCATACCTTCTGCTCTTCATTATTGGAATAAATCCATTACAAAAAGAAGAACACTGCCTGCTGACTTTAAGATTGCATGAGAAAAGAAGGTAGGTGAAATTGTCTTCTCAGTCCTTGATACTGGCATATTACCCAAAGTTGCATTAAGCCTCAAAATAGAAAATTTACCTTGGGAATAATTTATACAAAATTCTAGGCTTAATTTCTGCACAATTCTAGGTTTAAGCCACACTAATTTTCTCAGCTTTTAGGATTTTTTTATGTGTTGTGTGTATTCTGACCTTTAGAACTTTCCTTCCTTTTTTGATCTCTTGGTCTTTGTGCAGTGCTGAAATGTAAGAGCTTCTAGATAAGGACAGGAATTTCTCTGTTTGCTGTAACTAGTCTGCACTGCATTTTCGCTGACAGGACACTCCTTTACCTTAGCATATTGACTGTCTTTACACCATTTATTCGTGTGTATGTGTTCATATTTCCTGGTCATCCTCTGAATCTAGATTTTTATGCTTCATAAAGTCAATGAGAGCTTTGCCATTGACTACAGGGAGAACAAAGTCAAATTTTAATTCCATTTTCCCTCTAATCTATTTGATCTTTTCAGTCTCCCCTCACACTGTCACATCAAATCTTCCCAACCTTCCTATTACTTTCATCGCAGCCTTGTCGCAATTAGCTATTGCTGTGATTAGAAGTAAAAAAATCTTAATTTATATCTTGTGGGAGCTCAGTAATCCAACTCCAACTGCTTTTATGGAAGTATTATCACTTTGCTTTTGTTTTTTATCTCTGTCTGAACCCCTTTACAAGATATTCTGTTCTTCCATTATCATAATTTTAAAGAAAGGAAAGTCATATTGTTGATCCAAAGTTTCCCCAAGTTTCTCAAGTTAGCAAATCAAACTGAAACAAATCCACTGTATCAGGCTTACATCTTCCCTACTGTTTTAGAAACAGGACTGTTTCTTGAATATTTACACACACACATTTGATGGCTAAAAGTCACAAGTAATACAAATAACTAAATCAACTAAGTTAATTTACAATTATGTATTAACTAAATTAACCTTGGAGAAGGACTCCTGCCACCAAATATACAGTGACAACAAGAAATTGTGACAGAACAAAACTGTCCTCTAATTTCAATGTACAGGAAAATATCAAGGAGTGCATTACAATCTCCTGTGCACAAAGATGTGCATAAAGAGTTTGTCTTTAGACTGCACGAATGTTTTCCATTTCGAAATTTAGAAAATATGTATAATGCTGACTTGCAGCAGGATGTAATGAAGTGCTTGAATTATAGTGGAATCATTTTCCTTATCACTAGCTACAGAGTTAGTCCATTAGTTGGTTACCAGCAGGTCCAATCATGTTAAATCCCTGTGTATTAATGGATCTTTAGTTCACAGAAATTCAGATTTCTTCTTTTCTACCCCCTCAATGATTAGTGTGGATTTAACACCTAGGAAAACATTCTGAGCTTTACATCATTTTGTCTCAAAGGGTAGCATGGCACAAAATATGGGCAGTAAAAATTTCCTGGCCATTTTGAATAGGATGTAATTTACAGAAGCATTATGCAACTTACTGAAGTTTTTTTCTCTAGTTTTGCTCTCAAAGAGAGCAAATACAGTAAAAGAGGTAATAAGCAGCATCTGTTTGGCAGTTCTGCCCACAGCTCTCTTCGTGGTGACAAACAACATCTGACAAACCTGTGGATGATGACACTGTAATTGTGTACCAGTGCTGGTTGCAGCCATGGGATGCAACGAATGGGAGCATGAAGCATGAGCCCTGGGAAATGGGACAAAACTGTAATGATAAATCCACTACAGAGAAGAATTTGAAAGTATGCATGTAACTAAATATATTTTTATTCAAACCCCAGATGTTGTTCGGTATGTTCCAAGATTACAGCATGTTACAGACTCATTGACTTGGCCTCCACCCAGAGCCTGAGACAGCAATGTCTGAGCACAGTTACAGCTAATTATTGACTTGATTTCTCCTAACAGGTATTTGTTCCAGCTATAGTTCTTAAAAGTTCTATGTGATTTACTATCACAAGTTTTGGGTCAAAAAATAAACAAACCACCAACAAAAGCATAATATGAGTTCATTCCTTCCAGGGAAAAGGAGAGGTGGTTTTCCTTCCCATTTCTACAATAGCTTGGTGATGGGAAGCCCACTGCATCTGAAGTCTATCTTCTGCCTCTTCTATTGAAAGCCCTCCTCAAAATAAAATGCCTTGTCTACCATGCAAACCCTTATTCAGAATATTTTCTTATCTTTTGTTTGAAGCGAGTTTATCACCAAGAATAAAATTCATCAAACTAGAGAGTAAGAGGCAAAGTATGATGAAAAAAAGTAAAGGGGAGGAATTAGAGAGAACCAAAAGAAGCTGGCCCACTAGGACACTCACCAGGAAGGATGCCCATTCTGTACCTCCTGTAAGGAGAGTTAATTTAGTTTACATGAAACAGTTTTGGAATTACCATAATGTAAGCATAAAATTGTCTCCAAGCTCCTCACCACTGTAAAAGCCAAGGAACTTGTGGGCAAAAATAAAAGCAAAATGTTATTCTTATTAGGAAAATATAAAATAAAGTAGTTACAACTACAAAACTCAGATGCACTCTGCTAAAACATTGACATCAAGTTCAGGACCATCAGTTTGGGTTTAAGTACAAGATAAATCAGGAAATTGCTGATTATGAAACACTTGTAAATACAAATACAAAGACCAGCTGGCAGGCCACCAAAAATCCCATTCACCTCCTCACATTGTATTTTTTTAATTTATTTTCATTTATTGATTACATCTTCATGGATAGCTCCAATTGAGAGATTAAAACTGCAAAAGGGAAGTGGAAGTATAGGAAAGGAGCAGCACACTGATAAATGCATTTTTATGGAAGGTAACAAACCTTTATTTGGAAGTGTTAGAATGAGAAGAAATGCAGTGAGTTACTGGTAAGAGAAATGGAAAGAGTTCTTAGGAGACAATAGAGTCAAAGGGTGTATAAACACTTCAAATGCATCCCCAAAGTAGAAAAACTATTTCTGTCTAATCTCCCTTTATATCTCACTCTGTCATAGTTGTAGTATCTTCCCATAACCACCTCTGAAAAAAAGCTTCTACATCCAGCCTAATTCCACCTTTCTGCAGCTCAAGCCTACAATTAATTTTTTCTACTCTCTGTGTTTACAGAGGACGAATTTGTTTGCTCTTTTGTACCAGGATTTTCAGCAGGGGAACACTGTGACCACGTCTGTTGGCAGCCTTCATTTCTAGGAGCTGAACAGCCTCAGTTCAGGGTTTCTTCATGAATCATATTTCCCTGACCTTGTTCTTGCTCCACTCCTCTGGACCTTCTCCAGAGGTCCTCAGATGCGTAGTGTCTGAAATGAGACAAAAGATGACAGCAAAAGTTTTTTTGATGCTGAGTGGAAAGATGACTTCATTGGAGGGATCATGGATATTTAAATCATTGGGTCCCTCTCTCAAAAAGTCTCCAAATATTTGAAGTTCACCCATTACAATTTATGACAGCAAATTCAAAGGCTGAATATAGAAAGCATTTATATGCATATATATGTTGTCTCTGATACACAAGATATAACTGTTCTATGTCTGAAATAAGCAAAGAAATCATAACAGAACTAGTCCCAGCAATCACAATGAATTCCCTAATAGAGTGGGATTTTTTCCCTGTCATGTAGGAATTTACTAAAAGATTGTTTAACAGACTTTTAAAAAAAGTCTAATTAACGTTACCACACAAAAACTCAGCATGTTTGCATGAACTTTGCCAAGCCTGAATAGAACTACTAGTCCATAAAACAAGTTCAGCCATTCAATGGAGGCCAGTTTAGGACTATACACAGAGAAGTGTTGCCATGCACGTAAAGCAGCAGAGTCCTCTATCACTGCTGCCTGTTAACCTTGCAGTCTACTTTTCTCTGCTACCTATTTACTATTTAGATGATCTGTGCAGTCTTCCCTGTGGATTTCAGAAAAGTCTTTGTGACTTCTACCTCCTTAGAGAGTTGTTTCCCAGTGTTTTCTCCTCACACATTGTGACTCGCTCTATTTTCATATTTGTTCATTTCAGAGACACAAATTTTCTGGTTTGCCAAGTTCCATGAAAAGTGAAACATGAAAACCTTTTCTAAGCTAATTGCCCATTCTTTGGGGGGGAGGAGAACAACAAACAAAAAGCCACCACAGAACAGTCATTGCATCATATATCAAATGGCTTTGATTTTAGTATGGTAACATCATCACTGTCACTTATTAGAGAAGGGAAATTTAAAATTAAAACACAAAAAACAGTGTTAACCCAAACCATCCTTGAAATAAAGCTTTCTTGCACTGAGTACAATTCCCCTACCAATTCATTTTAGGAGGTACTGAGTGCAGTTAAAATATTTTCACCTAAATTTAAATTAAAGTTCTCACTGCTGGAGAACTTCTAAGTGTGTGTCCATCCCATATCAGCATAGCACTCAATTCTAAATATATGTTTGATTTTGAGTTTGCACTTCTTCATCAAAGAAGCGGTTAACTCATGCACATGTTTAAACTGAGACTCAGTCCTGGTCCTTCACAGAATAAAAATGTGAAAATTTACAGGCTAAAACAAAGCCCACAGAGTTTTAGTAGAAAACAAGACACCTCTGTCTCGTTTTCCACCTTAGTCCTAAAAAGGTGGAAAGAGAGTGATAGTTGACAAACCCTTTTTTCCAAATGTTATCTTTCTTGTTTCCAGTGTAGATGTGCTACTGTTTCAGCTACTATCAAATCCATTGTTTTCCATTGTGACAGTGTTAAGTGCTAAAGTGGGAATAGTTAAAGGAAGCACTTCCGTTTCCATAAAAGTGAAAGTTCCCAGAGGCAGATATTATCAATGAGGTTTGTTAGGGACTGATGTTTCAAACTAGTGAGATCTGTGTCATCTCTTGAAGTTGGACTCACAGAATAGCAGTATATCATAGCCAATTTATTCTTTTAACATCCTCTGAGATTCATGAGAAGTTTTCTAAGTAATGAATTGAAGATTATTTCCAGGACAGTGGAAAACAAAATAGCATAGTCCCACTACCAAATGAGCATATTTCTCTCTTCATCATGTGCATATCTGAGTATGTGAGGATGTGTCTGAATATAAACTATAAAATTCTGGTTTTTTAAGAAAAAGTTTTTGTGAGCCAAGGAATCAGATATGCAGAGGAATCTTTATCTTCTTTCCTTCTTTTTTTTTGCCTTATTCTTAGGTGACATGAAGAAGCAAAATGTAGGTGTTGTTTAATTATAACTTTTAATAATAACTTTTAATAAGTTTAAAATGTTCTTTTAGATAAGGTTTGCTGCTCAGCTGCAGAGCAGGTAGGTTCTTCTACACTCACAGACCAATCCTTTCCACAACATCCAGCCCTTAAATGGGTGTCAGTCTCTCTTAATGACTGAGATCTGAATGTATAATCCAAGCTCAGCTGATCCTTGGTTTCCTTCACTATTAACCCCTTCAGTTTCATGAAGAGGTGATGGCTTTTAAATTTGTACCACTGATCTTCAGGGCCAGGGGAGAGCTAATCAAACTCATTGCACTTCTCATAGCCTATTCTCATTGGAAAGTTGAAACCAAGTCTTTTTGCTGAATTGAAACGTCTGTAAATTGTTATCTAACAATATACAAATAAATAGATATATAAATAACTGATTTGTTCAGGCCCTCCAGTTAAATCATTAACTTGCCTTAATTTAATTTGCATGTTATTTTTTAGACTTGTCTTGATGAACTTCATCACAGACAGGAATTAAAATGTATTGTTGGCAGAAGAGAAAAAAAAAGACTACTTCGAGCCACTCAAAAAAAAAAAAGAAAAAGCTTGAAATTTTATATCTGCAAGATATGGCTCGTTCTCATAGAGTGCTTAATCCAGTCAAAATAAGAGGAGGTCCTGAAAGTTTATTACCACTAAATGTTCTTTAAAAGCATGGGCTTATTACATCAAGAGACAGAAGAGGTGGAGATTAAATGAGGTATCTGATCTCCTGAGTCTCTGGAGTCAAAGGGAAATGCCCTCATCCCATCAAACACTACTAGCAAAATACATGCACACAGAAAAAGAGGCTTTTTATTCTTGAGGTAAATATAGCTGAAGTTTTGTCTTCATTGTTCAAAATGTGTGGGATTTTATAGCTTAATGCTAGACAAACTCAATATGTGACTGAAATAACCTTAGAGAAGGATACATATTGAGGGCTGAATTCAGACTGCTCTGTGAAAGTACATCTGTTTTATATGAGACACACAATCTGTCTCATTCCAACCTGCATTTCTGGGTCACTTGAGACATTTAAACTGCACTTATAATTAACAGCTATTTTTAAACAACGAAAAACTAGAGCACTGGTAAGGTACAAAAGCATTAAAATTGCCCCAGTTTTGCTTTTCAATAGGACACACCACTGCAATATGCTTCAAGATCAAAGAGAGCTCAGAAAAAAGAGACAGGCTGATCAGTGGGGATAAATTGTTCCCATTATGATGGTGTAAGAATAGGGTTCTTTCAATTGAAACAATTTAATAACCACATTCATTACATTGGTGTCCACTTGGTTTTATCTGAGCAGTTTTTACATAACTGGGAGAAAGTTCAATTGAGCTTATTCTCTAGAAATTAAGATGTGCAGGGTTTGACATTCAGAAATTAGGCACTAATAGTCAGCAAAGCAGTTGTCTTGAGATTCCCCCTGGATATAGCTGGGTCTGCGTACCACTAATTATGTCAAATGCAAATGTATTCTCTAAAAGACACACCAAAAAATTTAATTAGCTCATTTCCAGACAACTAAGGTTATACCAGAGCAATGACAGCTATCAGAACACCATCTTTTCCATGTTTAGAACATCACTTTCACAAAAGCAGAAGCCAAGCAGATGCAACACTGCTGTTTGTAAACTTTTTTCTCCATCATCAACAGCAGAAGCACTTTTAAGGGCCAGTCTTTCACAATCCTAAGGAAAGAAACCAGTCTTCAGGATGACATTTCCACCTACATTTTTATAGGGAACAAGAGAGTCACTGAGAGATTTCCTTCTTCCTCTAATACTGACTTAAGCAGTTGACACCTGTGTTTCAGCAAAGAGAATAATTCCTCACCTGACGCCTTGGCAGAGGAAGATTGAATTTGTCAGTTCTCAGCTGCATGGTAGTGTGCAAAGCATGGGGTGAAGTGCCATTTGGCTTGAAATACAGTGGGGGTATTAAGCACAGATGCTCTTGAGAATAACTAAATCCAGAGCTTGTGACCATGTATAAAACCAACCATACTCACTTCTGTCTGCTAGTCTTGCTGGTAAAGGCAACATAGGAACATAGACATTTCCCAGTGTACGTGGGATCCTTCCTTGTTTTCTTGCTGCCGCCAAACCAGTGAGGAGTGAAGGCCTGTTGAAGAGCGCATCGTGTGGCAACTGCATAATAGCAGCATTTCTTCCCTCATCCTCTGTCTCCTTCTTTTTTATCAGAAGACAAAATGTAAAAGCTATGAAGTTATCCTTGCCTCAGTGAAAGCTTTTAAATGGATGACTTTTCCAGAAGCAACTGTTCTTCTCTTACTTGGCTATTTCCCCAGATGGGATTTGCAGTATAAAGCCATACATGGATCTGATATTGAAGAAAGGGAATAGACTTGTACAAATCACTGGGAAAATAATATGCCATATAGATCAATAAATAAAACCTAGTTCCAAAAAAATCAAGCTCCAGAATTCTAGACCAATTAAGATGTTATTTACTGCATACATGATTGCTAGTTTGATGCTCTCTTTATTCATTTTTACACTATAGGCATTTGTTTTGTTGAAAGATGTATAACTGATTTGTAAATAGAAAATGATATAGATGGATTTTATGCCTCATAAAACTGTTAATCTGTGCTCCATATTAAATATATGTCGTACTATTTCTCCGTACTTAGACACAGCTCTAGTATAATTAAAATAAGGTATGCTGGCTTCATTTTTTCAGTAAGTCATTTCCAAGTATAGAGCTCAAATAACAATGCAACTGCAGCATGAAATGTGGTTATAATAGCCTGAACCACATTTCCTGAAACTAAACCATGGAAGATAATAGTGTGAAGGTACAAATTAAATGCAAATAAAACAGATTCCCCATTGTTGGTAATCCCTGGATTAGATTTCAGTGAGAAAAATAGCTGTAATATTTAACTTCTTTGTATAGTAATCATTGATGTTTTATCAGTTCCATTTTCAGAGTTTGTATACGAATTATTGCACAGGAATTTGAGAAAGCCAAACCTCCACCTTTGACATCCTAAATGAACCTATTCTGTAGTAAACAATATTACCTAACAATATAATATCACA